GGGAGACAGAGGATCGGGAGAGGACTCTGTGCTGACAGCAGAGAGCCCAATGCAGGGCTCAAACCCACAAACTGAGATCATGACCTGAGGTGAAGCAGGACACTTAACGGACTGAGCCACCCAGGTGCCCCAATACCCTTTAACTTTAAAATCAATCATTAATCAGTGATAATAACAATGGTAACAACATGGAGCTTTTACAGACTGGATTATAACCAAGTAGACATTAAGAATTTTAAGAATATCAAGTGGGGCGCCTGGGTGGCTCAGTTGGGTTAAGCGTTGAACTTCTGCTCAGGTCATGATGTCACAGTTTGTAAGTTCGAACCCCGCATCAGGCTTGGTGCTGACAGCTCGGAGCCTGGTGCCTGCTTCAGATTCTGTGTTTCCCTCTCTCTCTGCCCCTCCCCCAATTGCACTCTGTCTCTCTCTCTCTCAAAAATAAACATTTAAAAAAACTAAAAAATAATAATAAAGAACAACATCAAGTATCTAAAGCTCAAAATATGGCTGCCAGAACCTAGAAAAATTCCGCTGATATTATCCAACTGGTAGATGACAAATCCTATGAGCCAAACTTAGCATTTGATCACCATTATGGACTTGGTATAACTAGACCCATAAAAGTACAACCATTTTTTCCCATAAATGTGTATAGTGTTACCAACAATCCAATTTGTACCTGTACACTTTTTTCACCTCTTTGTTCTCTTTCATAGAAAAGTGACTGTACTCAGAGTAGTTATTTTCAGAATACAATTATAGCTGGTCTGTCAAGCGGACCTGGTTGGATATTATGACATCTCTTATGTTTCCATAAAGTCCATTCTACTTGTTTCTTCTAGTTTCCATGGCCTCCCTGGCTGCCGGCTGACATCCAGCTCTGCTGGTGCAGGTGAAATGAGGAGGGCCTGTCCAGAGACCTTTGAAGACCTCTCAAATGGACTGAAAAATGGACCTCTCAAAAGGCTTTTGTTTGAATGTCTAACTGATTTAACTCAAGTCTGGCATGAATTTATTTCTAGGCGACACAACAAATCCCAAACACAATAACCATTTAGCTGTTTCTGACACTACTCACAAAAAAGTAAATTTTGTTATTATTGTTACCTGATATTAGGGCCTATTGGTCTCAAGAGTGTAATCATAAACTGTATATGTTCAATTTTTCTTTTTAACTTTTTTAAATGTTTATTTATTTTTGAGAGTGAGAGAGAGAGTATGAGTGGGGGAGTGGCAGAGAGAGAGGGAGACACAGAATCTGAAGCAGGCTCCAGGCTCTGAGCTGTCAGCACAGAGCCCAACACGGGGCTCGAACTCACAAACTGAGAGATCATAACCTGAGCCGAAGTCGGACGTTTAACCAACTACGCCACCCATGCACCCCTGTTTAGACAATTTTATACAAAAACTCTGAACTGGTAAAAAATGTATGTTGGTGAATTTTATGGTAAAAAAATAGGCATTATTTGTTTTCAAATAACCAAAACAAATGGTTAGGATCATGTATTCCTAAACTAAGAAAAAGGACTGCTATCATTAGCAGATTTCATGCATCTCGGTGCTATTAAGTTTTAAAAGCCATTAATGAGTGTGAATAGATTAAACAGTCCTTTGCATCTTATTTCTATAATTTGCTTAACAAGAACCTTTTTCATTAAAAACAAACAAGCCAAAAAAAGAAACAAACAAAAAAAAAGGAACAAGGATTAGTCTTGCATTACCCAAATAATCATCAATCACAGAACCCAAGGTATAACTTTATGAGGTTTACTAATCACAGAATTTTCTTCTGGTAGGGCTCCTACAGATGTATCTAATCCAACTTCCTATTCTACAGGTGAGAAAACTGAGGCCTAGAAAACTAAAGGGTCTTATTCCCAAATAATAAGGCTAGCCAGTAAGCAGATCCTCTCATTAGAGGATTTCCCAGTACAGATAAATCAACCCATCCCAAGGTTGATTATCCTTGCCCTATCACACCTATCCAAGCCCTCCTGGAAAAGATGCTTACAATTAGTTGACTTTGATTATGGAACATACAAGCCTTTTTTGAAATACACTTCATTTTGTTTTCTATTTAACAAGCACAAAAGATATCCTTACTACCTGCATGAAACAGGAAACTGAGGGAGAAATGAAAAGACCACTGGGTTTAATGTAAAAAGTCAACATGAAATCCTTGTGCTGATACTGGATGATACTTGTTTTTCCAACAGTCATGGGGCATGCTGCCTAAGAGTGAAATGTAAGCAAAGTCTTGAATCACCTACTAATGAGTTCTCTGCATTGTTCCAGAGGCACACACATGCCAGGCGCACAGGTGAGATAGGAAAAGACTTTCAGGTAAGTCCATGTTTATCTTCTCAGAAAGAAAAAGGGAGAAAGGAGGGTCATTTCCCTGGCACATCTAAAAAACACAGTCCTGAATCAAAAGGATTTGAAACACTAAACTAGATAACTTGCTAGTTTTCTAATAAGACCAATATGGAAAGGGGGTGGTGGTGGAAGGAGTCTGTAAAAACAATTAAAAAGAGCTTGTCGAGCTTTTACTATTATATATATTTCAGCCTTTAACTCTTCTGACAAGTTCAGAAAATAGGCCTTATAATGTCTACTTAAGAAGAAACAGAAATGGGTAGGAAGCATTACAGAATTCTAAGCAGGGAAGTGACAGGTCAGATTTGAATTTTTACAAAGAGGAAGAAGGCAAATAAGAGTACCCATTTAGACTGGGAGTTAGGCCCAAACAAGCTCCTAAATCTTCTCTGTCACTAAGATTCTGTCTCTTGACATAGCTATTTAAGAAAACTCATTATGTCTACTCAAGAAGAAGCTGAGGTGATGTGGACAAGGTTCCCCAGCTACTAAGTGGTGAAGCTGGAGTTCAAACCCAAGGTCCCATCTCCTACTTCTGCTTTACATCACATGGCCTTCCAGACAGTCAGCATTAGGGAGAGTGAAACTGTCCCTCTGTGTTCACCTGGAAGCCCTTCTGGTTCTCAATTCCATGATTATAAAAAGAATTGACACAAAACAGAAGATACAGCTCCTGAATAGGAAAACTTGCTGCAGGTTAACAATTTTTTATATCATCATCCTTTTCCAATGAAACACAAATATCAGCCAATAACGAATGAGCATATCTTTTATGGTGAGCAGTACCAGGAAATAGTGTTACACTGAATTTAACCTGCTCCTCCTGTAACTTCTAGGTCACCTCAATGTTGGATAGCCAGGCCTGTTTCAGAAACTTTATGTGAGAATTAAACCAAAGCCTGAAACAGACTGAGAGAAGGAAAAGTTTCGAGGTTCAACTACAACATAAACTGGAATGCTCTGGACATGTCAGGCTACAGTGGGTCTGTCACGGAGTACACATTCGGCAGCAACTTCAGCCTGCAGGACATCTGAGCAAGGACATTCTCCTCTCTTCTGCAGATTTAGTCACTTCATTTCTTACCCAAGATAATCATTCAGAGGTGCTCCATTCACAATCCCCCCACTTGTATTAGGGTAACTTTCCATGATCTCATCTACCTGGGACACTGCCAGGAATCAGAAAGTAAGCAAGAGAGGCTGGTGGAAAGCCAAAATAAACACCCCACTGTTTATTCAATTCAACCCAGGAAGAATTTATTGAGAGTGCACTATTTTTCAGGCACTGTGGCCTGATCCTGGGCTGATGCTGATGATGCTAGGGATGATGATAAGAATAATGATTACAGCAGTAACCATCATATACTGAATGCCTACCATGTGCCAAGGCACTGCTATAAACACTTAAATTTATTTGATGCTCCCAACAACCCTATGAGGTAGCTCCTATTATCATTTATATTTTTGTAATAAGGAACTTGAGGCACGGAGTGGTTAAGTAACTTGCCCAGAGTCACAGCTAATAAATAGTGGATGCAAACCAGATAGTCTGGCTTCTGACTCTATACCACTAGATACTACCCTTAGCAGAGTACATAAACTTTAGACGAGCACATAAACCAACCCAGGGTTCAGGGAGGGCTCCCAGCAATTGAGCCCTGTCGGATGAATTTAGGTAGGCGCTAACCAGAGGGAGAGAGAGGTGTGTGGAGCATTCCAGGGGAGAGAGTAGCTCTATGCAGGTAGAGGTCTGGCATTCATTGAGGCAAGGAACACTGAAAGAGGAGCAGGTTTCAGATGCAGACAAGGAGCCATTCACATCTAAGTCTCAGGAACCTGTCTCACAGGAAACACATCTAACAAAGAAATCTAACTTCTTTCTTTAAATATTGTTAAAGATATTAACAGTTTTATCTGTCTTTCCAACCAATGAATGATTAGAAGCTGAAAATTCGGGGGAAATGGTTTGTGCCAAGGTAACAAGAAGGTTGACAAAAGAACAGGAGAAGATGGGAAAAAATAAGGAAAAGAGACACCTTGGGAATAGAAAGAATATAGCAAAGAGCCCCTCCCACCTCAATAGAGTAACCACAGCACACTGCAAGAAGAGGTTACAAGATTAACTTAATCATCAAGAAAAGGTTAATTTGTGCTCCATAAGCTCTGTTTTAATAAATGGGGAAATAGGACATGGAGTTTAGAAAAGCACTAATAGAAATAGCTCAAATAAAAAGCTGTGTTGCACGAGCCTCTGTGATTTAGAAAATTCATTTAATGTGGAGAAAACCTCATTCACCAACATGATGGATAAAACATGCAACAGAGTCCATGTCTCTTTTCAGAAGACACATGCTTCAGTGATCTACACAGGCTTCCACCAAGATAAGCCTTCCTCCCTCAAAGCCAGCATGCCATGTTCCCCTTTGTCCCCTTTTAGAAGACCTAACTGCTCTATGATTGCTGGAGAGCTTAATGGTTGATTTTGTTCAAAGTGACATTAAGCTGGCTCTCATTTTAAGGCCATATACTTCTCCCCTGGCAATTACTTCAAAAATTCTGATAGAAGAAAAAGAAAACCATTGCCAGGCACAGAATTAATCAGTGTTAAATAAATTCCTTACCTGTCCCTTATTATGACTTCACCACAGGACTGGCAATAAAATGTACAGCATTCTCGGGTTTGTGAGCTTTGATTAAACATGGAAATCAGTTCTAAAAAAAAAAAAAAAATCAATGAAATAGCAAATCTTAGAGGTTTGGAACAAATATATTAACATACTTAAAGAGTTTAACAGCCACAATAAATTACGATCAATAAACACTGTTTACGATCTACCCAGAAGTACACATTTAATTAACATTATCTGATGACTCAACCAGAAGCAAATATTGTGAAGCGTTCTCAAAAACAAGATTTTGCTGGGGCACCTGGGGGCTCAGTCGGTTAAGCATCCGATTCTTGATTTCGGTTCAGGTCATGATCACGGTTTGTAAGTTCAAGCCCTGCATACAGCTCTGCACTCAAAGTGTGAAGCCTGCTTGGAGTTTTCTCTTTCCCCCACTCTCTCTGCCCCTACCCCCTCATGCTCTCTCTCTCTCCTCTCTCCCTCTAAATAAATAAATAAACAAATAAATAAATAAGTCTTTAAAAAATTTTTTAAAAATACCACAAGATTTTGCCAAGTGTCTCAGAGCTAGGTATCTCCCTAGATGATCCATGTAACATACCATTGAGTTATCTCACTCATTCCATAAATACCGACACTAAGGATGAGAGAAAAGTAGCAATTTCTTTCACATCAAACTAACTACAAGGAGCTTCACCATCCTCAGCTTTCCTCTGCTGTTTTAGGTATAGTTTTTCATCTCCATGACTGCTGGCTCTATCTCTCAAATTTAAGTTTAATTTGATTTAAACAAGGTCTATGTCAACTCTGGCCTATTACCAATGCATACAAAAAGAATCTTGAAACTGGTCTCTATTGGACAGGTTCCTGGGAATAGAATGGCTCCTAAGAAGAACTCAATCTTTCAAGAGCAAAACTCAACTCCTGGTTAAAGCTGTGGAAAAATGTACATTTCCCACATTATGTAAAGCACAGCATTCCCTTGGCTTCCATTCTTTAACTCACGAAGAAAGGAAACTTTCATTTCCAAAAACAAAAACCAAAAACCCACACACAAAAGTACTTGTCTATAAAAAAATTTTTTTTAATGAAATGAGGTCATACACATTAAAATCAAGCAATGTAAACTTGGTTTATGTTACTTCGTAGGTATGTTAAGATTTTAAAAACTGATGCAAGAAAGTTTAAGCCTTGACAATTAAAAAGTCATCCTTTTAATTTCTAGGGGTGTCCACCAATCCCTGTAGCAGTAAAGTGAAGTAAACAGTATTCTTTAATTTTGAGCAGATAATAAGTAGACCTGGGTAAGTCATTCAAAACATTCTTTCGAAATATTCTTTTCAGAACGAATAAACAAATTTTCAGTGAAACACTCCCCCCTGCTGGTCACCCAGCAGGATCCACTGGCTCACGTTCAAGTCAGAACTTCCTGACAGAGTGGCATCCTGGGAGAGTACTGCCACCTGGGGATGAATAATGCTTGTGCTGTATCAGATTTTACTGTAGCCAGTTCCCTGTCAAAGGTCATGATCTGACTTATGTTCCAGTCAGAATACCATAATGTGTTTACTATAGTCCTTAAAAGAACGTTTATAGTTGAAAAGTCAACTTTTTAAGAACCTCAAAACACAACTAAATGCTAAAAATGTCAAAAGTCACTTCCTACACTACATTTTGACTCAAATTAACATCAGTATGTATCTATCTGATATTTATTCATCCAGCAAATATTTATTCACCACCTATTATGTGGAAAGCACCAAAGCTATTAAGTACTGAGATCTATTTTGCATACCCTTTTATACACTACCGAACAGGTCTTTGAAAGTCTTCCTTTCCAGATATTTGAGTAAAACATTTTAAAAATGTAAAGGAACAGGAGACCAATGGAATGCAAACAATATGCAAACCAACATACAGCAATTTCTTCTGTTCTACAACTAAAATGAAACAACAATGCTTGCTGATTTAAATTTTTTCTATTAGTTCAAGTTTTGCTATTTATCAACTATTACAGAAGATGAGTAGGCAACAAACCAACCCCGTCTCCAGAAGGCCTCCCTACCTCCCCAGTGTGGGATCTAAAATCACAAATCCAGAAAACTAGCAGAAGATCGGAAAATACCCCAGTGTGGCTTTCATGCCTGCCTTTCCCCAGTTTCCATTATTAGTCTATTTCCCATCTTGGTGACCCCATTCTTCTTTCCATGGTTATTACAAGAGTCATTCTTAGCATTTGGATATGTCACTTGAGCTCCATGACATTTCATTTTCCAACCCCGTATTCCTAAAACCAACTCTGCCCAACTCAGACTAGTTATTCATTAATCCAGGACTTGAGCAAAAATGACTCTACAATGAAAGAGCAGCACAAGACTCAGGGGAATGCTCCACATCACCTACATGGCTCTTCAAAACAATCCTGCTGACCCCACCTCTAGGGTCCATGCCGCTCAAATGAAAGGCTGAGCACAGATGAGGCAGAACAAAGTCTCAGGGTGCAGTTGAAACAATTATGATCCTTCCCTGATAATCAGCATCTCATAGATCTGTTACAGCCTGTTTCCCCTTTTTAAATCATTTTTTTTTAAGTTTATTTATTTTGAGAGAGAGGGAGAGCGTGTGCACACGCATGAGCGAGCACGCAAGGAGCAGAGAGAGAGAGGGAGAGAGAATCCCTAGCAGGTTCCACACTGTCAGCACAGAGCCTGATGCCAGGCTCGAACTCACATTGAACTGTGAGATCATGATCTGAGCTGACATCAAGAGTCAGATACTTAATGGACTGAGCCACCCGGGTGCCCCTCCCTTTTTTACATCATTTTTAATCCTTTAAAGCATCTTACTTCCATGGTAAGAGATTTAATGAACCAATATTTTATTCAATAAGTTACTCTGAGAAACATTTCTACCATCTGACTGAATGTGACAGTAACAAAATATCAGAAGCATAACAGGCATAGCAATAACCAAAATCAAATTATACATCAAACTCAATTTCAGAATCTTTATATGTGTTGCTCTATCTGGAAATGTCTCTACGTGGATGAGACCACTTTCATCATTCCATCCCCTGGTCGAGCATCAAGTGGTCTTCCCTGGGCACCTTTCACCCTAGTCACTCCCCATCCCATTATTCTGCTCTACTTTGACCAGAGCACTTTTCTCTGTACCCAAGTAACTTATTTGTTCATTATCTGTTCCCACCCATGAGAATGTAAGCTCCCTAAGAGCAGAGACCTTCTGAGCGTGGTCACTTCTGTATATCCCAGCACCTAGATCAAAGCGTAGCACATAGCGTAAGACAATGTTTGTTGGGTGGATGAATACTAATGCTTGAAAATCAACCAGGTGTTGCACAATTGCTCTCTCATTTAATCTTCAGTGAGGTAGGTAATCAACTCGCCAAGGTAGGTAATTTTACAATTAAAGAAAGAAGGCAGGGGTTACATAGGAAATCTCTGTACCTTCTGCTAATTTTGCTGTGAACCTAAAACTACTCTAAAAAATAAAATCTGTTAAATGGAGGACAAAAAACCCACTAACCCCCGCAACCCCCTCCCAAACAAAACTTCGGAAAGGTTGAAGGGCATGTTGAACTGCACACCTAATAACTGGCAGAGCTGACAAAGAAACCTTCTGACCATCAGCTCTTTCCATGCTGCTGCAGAACAGTCTTTTCCACCTGGGAAAAGGTCAAATTTTCAAAGGGAGAATCAGCTTTGATTTACAATGAAGAACTAAGTGCTAAAACAGGAGTGCTGGTATCACTTACTGGCATTGGATTCTGCCCACACCTGCAGCCGCAGGTGCAGCCCATCTCCAGCCACGTACTGCAGCCCTCGGCAAGAGGAAGGTACAAGCCTGACCTCTGCTGGAAGCCGGAGCTCTGTGCAGTCTGCAGGGGTCTTCACCTGGAGTGATGATGGTGTTATAGAAATATCCATGGGCGTACCACCTCCTTCTTTAGGCTCCCTGGTAATTAAAAATAAAACACACAAAAAATTGCTTCTCAATGATGAAAACCACAAGATACACAAGACAAAAATGGCCAAGGATCTCTCTGTTCCTTTTCAATAAATGCTTTAAAGTCACTGGCCTCCCAAAATAGCAGTGAACAGATCATAAAGGAAAACATCATATACTAGATTTACACGAGATCAGACTACTTTTCACAGTCACAGTAACATGAAAGTTCTGGAACATATTTTTATTCTTGCTTTTTTTTATGGTAATAATGATGAATTTTTAAATGTGCACTTTTCCCCATTGCTAATAAAGATTCTGAGCCCCAATTCTCTATTCTAATGCTTGCTGTAGCTACTCCACCTAGACCTTCGTGGGGTTGCTCCCAGGGCCATCCTGCACGCACAGTCCACCTTCCACCTCCTAGTAGCCCTTATTTCCTCCAACCAGTTTCCCCAAATGCAGGTTCTCTGAACTAGCACAATCTAATGCTAACCTGTCCTACATTACGCACTTGTTCTTCAAAGTATTTCTGGTAAGAGAACTCAAGGCAGCACATTCATCTATGGTTTATTCACCTATGCATTCCTTGGCCCTATCATGGTTTATACATTCATTTACTTTTTCACTCATTCATTCAATACACCTATTTTGAGTTCTATTATGTGCCAGGTACCAGAAATACAACAATTAACAAGATATTTTCTCTGCTCCGCACCCCCCCTACTCCAAGTAGGACACAGGTAAGTGAACAGGAATGATCAAGGGAGTGTTAAAACACGTGGTGAGGCCAGGCCAGAATGATGAGTTGCACCGGGAGGGGGTTGGGGGACAGCCTGCCAACTTCGGGACATGTTCCTCATGATCTGGTGCCACAAGACAATCATCTTCACTGACGCCAAGGAGTTGAACCACGGTCAAGCTGAAGCACATCATTGAGCGAATCCTCAAGCAGCTGCCCAAGCAGCTGTACACGGTTGACCAGCTTCTGGATGATGGCAAGACACGGGGAGTGTGGCTTCACCAGTCCGGCAGCACGGCTGCAGGCCCCACCCACTGTGGGCCTGGCCTTCTGGGCAGCTCCACCCACTCCCCTGTGCACCAGATGAAGCCTTTAAGGGCCTGTGCACCAAGCCCTTCTCCAGCCTGCCTGGGCTGCCTGCTGTGATGAAGCTGCAGGACTCAGGAAGCAGCACCAACGAACAAGTGGCCTAGTGAGTGAGAGGGCCCTGAACTCAACCCCACCTCGTGCCCCACCCCCACTCATAAAAGAGATTTGGGTGTCAAAAAAAAAAAAAGCAACTACGTTGCATTGCACTTATTCATGGTAAATACTGAGTACTATGGAAGCAGGTGGAGGGCTGCAGTAACTGTCAGAGGTCAAGCGCTGTTATTTGAATAATGAATGGGCTAGTGAGTGAAATATTCTTCTGAGACTAGCATTACAATGATGCTGTATTTTACTTACAATAAAGTATTGTCATTTGATATACAGGATTTTGATAAGACCAGGATTACATGAAATGAAAGATACAGAAGAAAACACTTAAGAAAACAATCTAGTGATGTATGAATACCAGATATGAAAGGATTTGCTAAGCCAATTCACAAGCACAAATCACTTGGAGTAGGCAACCAAGAGTAAAGCAGAGTACATTCCCTGTCCACCAGACACCAAAAGCATGGCAGGGGATGAAGACATATTGAAATTATCCTTATATGAAGCTAAAATATGCTTAGCAGTGTTAACAGAGGTGTCAAGCATTCTGACTCCCTCTTAAGTGCAGACAGCAGGGGCGGGCCATCAACTTGGTATAACCTAAGTACAAAAGGTAGGCCATCTACTTGAGTGTTATCTAAGAACAGAGATCAAACCCTGTGTTGAGGTATGAATCTTGATCAGGCCTCTTTCTTAGAAAACCTTAAGATTACTTTCTGGCTAGTTTCTCTTCAAAGCATATGAATCTGCACCTAACTGGCAATACAGAATATTAAGACCCTGAGTCTTTTCCAGGGAATACATTCCCAAACTCTTGAGTCAAAAGTCTAATTTTGAGAAGGCACCTGGCTGGCTCCAGGTGTCGTACCTCGTTGGTTAAGTGTACGACATGGGCTCAGGTCATGATATAGCCCTGCACTGGGCTCTGTGCTGACAGCTTGGAGCCTGCTTCGGATTCTGTCTCCCTCTCTCTCTGCCTGTCCCCTGCTCACACTCTGTCTCTCTCCCTCTCAAAGATAGACAAACGTTCAAAAAAAAATTTTTTTTTAACTCTAGTTTTAAGAACCGATGCTCAAGAAATAAACTTCAAAGGGTGCCTGGGCGGCTCAGTCGGTTAAGCATCCAACTCTTGATTTTGGCTCAGGTGTTGATCTCACGGTTCATGGAATCAAGTTCCTCATTAGCCTCAGCATGGAGCATGAAGCCTGCTTCAGATTCTCTGTCCCTCTCCCTCTGCCTCTGCCCCCCACTCCCGCTAGTGCTCACTCTAAATAAATAATTAAAAGAAAATAATAATAATAATCCTCTAAAGCAGAGGTTAGAAGGGCCAGATGGTATTTCAGGTTTTGCGGGCCATATATGGCCTCTGTTGCATATTATACTTTGTATTTTTAAAAATTTTTTTAAGTGTTTATTTTTGAGAGAGACAGAGTGTGAGTGGCGGGGGGGAGGAGGCGGGCAGAGAGAGGGAGACACAGATTCCAAAGCGGGCTCCAGGCTCGGAGCTGTCAGCACAGAGTCCGATGCAGGGTTGAAACTCACAAACCGTGAGTTCATGACCTAAGCTGAAGTCAGACACTTAACCGACTGAGCCACCCAGGCGCCCCCGTATTTTATTTTTAACAATGCTTTAAACAATATAAAATCCACTCTTAGCTCATAAGCTGTACCAAAACAGGTCATAGGTTAGATTTGACCCATGGGCCATAGTTTGTTGACCACTGCTCTAAAGATGCACAATTTGTCCATTTTGCTACTTCAGCGATTTTCAAGCTGGACTGTGCAGTTGGCACTTAGAAGTGACTCAAGGGATATCATGGGGTTTCTAGGCCTCACCCCCATCCCATCTCTGGCTTACCACTCTTCTTCCCCTTCCTGAAAAATTCAGCCAATTACAGAGGGCTAAGTAAGGTAGGAGGCATCTATGTAAGTGTCGGAGAACCAGAGTGGCCTGGGATGGATGTGAGAAACCCAGCAGAGGAAGGAAGGAGGGCATCCACCAGGACAGCCACTACATAGGGATGTCAGATCTCAAGAGGGATGAGGGGAAATCTAAGGATGAGGGGTGAGGGTGGCTGTTACAGGGTATAGGGCTTCAGAACCTGCCTTAGACTGTTCGTGTTGCTATAATTAAATACCACAGGCTGGGTAGCTTAAACAACACACATTTCTTACAGTTCTGATGGCTAGGAAGTAAAAGATCAAGGTGCCAGCAGATTTGGTTCTTGTTGCAGGCTCTCTACCTGGCTTGCAGATGGCCGCCTCCTCATTATATCCTCACATGGCATGGAGCATCTTCTGTGTGTCTTCTTATAAAGGCACTAATCCCATCATGGTGGTTCCATTCTCATGCCCTCATCTAAACCTAATTACCTCCCAAAGGTTCTATATCCTAATACCATCATATTGGGCATTAGGGTTTCAACACATGAATTTTGAGGGGACACACAAATTCATTCCATAGCAGAGCCCAAGAAGATACCAGGAAGGTGTCAACACTGAGTGGGAAGGAGTGGGGGATGGGAAGCAGCAAAGGATGTCTGCAGAAGATAAGTTACATAAAAGGGAATTAACCAAATAAATGTATGTCATGAGAATAATGGAAGCCAGTATTCTCGCTGTGGGAGAATACAGTTACAAAGAGGGAAAGGGAAAACACCAGAATGGATCCTACCACCATAGACTAGAATTAGAAATACTAGTGTGGAGTCATGGTATATAATGTGGAATCAATGTATATAAGTAAATACAGTAATACAGATGTATATGTGTGTAGATGTATGTATAATATACAAACACACAAGCATACACGTACAGACATTCATACGTAAACATGAGGTATATGTCACATACACACTACTTTTGTCCACTAGGACCTGGGAAGAGTGACATGTCAATAGTAATGAGAATACTTTGTGCTCAGATTTTGGTTTCGAAAGGTCATTTCCCACTTTAAAACAAATGAACAAATGCAAAACAAAATAGCATTCCCTGAGAAAATAACTATATCCAGGGCTGGAACAGGAAAAGAATGAGATGAGCCTGGAACATGTTGCTGCGCAAAGAAAAAAGTCAAGGAATAATAGGAGCACATTAAAAAAGACAGAAATCCACTGGAAGGGACTCCCCCTGGCCACATCCGGTATAACTGGAGCAAAAAAAGTAACCCAATGAATAAGACCATAGGTCTATAGTGATGTAAATGAATGAATGAATAAAATGAAAGTCTGATGAGGAACAAGAGCATTTACAGATAGTCTCAAAGGACCTCTACAAGTAATCTTTATTGATTATAAAGAGACAGTCTTGCCAGACTGAATCAGCAAGAGCAGGGAGTCAGAACTGGCTACTGCACTCAGCAAATCTGAGAGAACAGAAGCATGAAGATTTCTCCTATCCTTTGTCAACCATACATTATTCTTCCTGAACACTGAAGCTCTTTCCACTACATATCAAAACTCCCCAGGAGTATGGCAATGCAAAAGATTTGAGATTCCCGTACATGTGACAAAAGGTTTTTTTTTTGTTTGTTTGTTTTTTTACTCCATTTCAGATTTGTCCTTCTTCATTCCTATAAAAGCAGTAACCCAGTCAGACAACTTCACCTAGGCCCCTGTTCTGGTGTGCATTTACTGTGAGTTTTTGTCTGCCTATGCTACTTGCACTCATAAAGCTAAAGCACTCAGCCTTCTGCCTTCTGGAAGATAAAGAAATAGTTTCATCCCTGTGATATCCTTGTTCTGTAGTTACTCTGATGATAGCCAGTGAGGTTGTTAAAGTTTGCAGTATT